GGGTTTTCCTGACAGCAACCCGGAAAGCCACCGAGTTGTTGAGGGATGGATGTTAGTAAGTCACACAGAGGCTCACAACAAACTATGACTAACATACATAAAACTGATCTTTTATCTCACCCCAGGAACTTGGGAGTAAGCACATTTTTCATCTGCGTGGGAACATCCCAAATCTTCAGTCTGTACCCTCTCCTGGGCTTCAAGCTGCTCGCTCTCTACAGGTCCCAAACTGAACTCATCTTTGACTCCTTCCCCACTACCCCAGCCAGTGGCTTTTGGGCTCAGGTCCCCTTTCGCCTATGAGTCAGTCTGAGAGCTAAACATGCTCCTTGGCCTCTCTCTTGATCAATACCACCTACCATCTCTACTTATCGCAATGCCTCCCAAACTCTGCCACCTCTTACTGGTTCATCGACCACGAGCACCACCGTTTATCCTGTCATCTGGACCACGTACTTATCCTGCCGATTTCCACTTTGGCTCTGTTGCAGTTCATTTTCCATGGATCATAACTCACACCTTATCACGCCCTGCCATAAGTCATCCAGTGGGTTCTCAATGCCCTCAGAAGAAAACCTACACTCTGTAGAACTACCTACACATTCCTACATGGCCTGGCGCCTGCCTCCTTCCTTGACCTCAATCTCCTTTTTCATTAGACTCCAGCCACCTGGCAAAGACTGTCCCTGACCACCCTAAGCAAAGCAGTCATGTTCCCTGCACTACTTCCTGGTCATTCTGTCTCATTACTCTGTTTTATTTTCTTCTGGCACTTATCACTGTCTGAAGTTTTCATTTTTTCGTTTGTTTACTTTTTTGTCTGTCTCCCCCACTAGGAGTACCTTGATAGCAGGAGGCCCCTATTTGACCTGTTTATTTAGATATGCTTAGCACCTAGCATGGTGCTAGGCTTTTTGCTGAATGAAAAAAAAAAATGAATGAACATAATTTATAATTATGTAAAATTTAATTCCACAAAATACTGATTTTTATTAACAAAAATCATTCACTAACTGTGTGACTTTAAACCGTTATTTGATATCCTTCCTCTCAGTTTCATCATCTGCAGAATGGATAGAGTAATAGTCCTGATCTTATAAGGGTATAAGGGTATATTTCTTATAAGGGTATAAGAAATAAGGAAGCAGATGTACATAAAATACTTAGCACCATGCCTGGCACACAATATATATTCAATAAATGGTAGCTATTAGTGGAAGACAAGATTAGGATATTCTAGTTATCTTAAAAACAAGACTATTAGTTTTATTGTGGAAACTGATATACCACCCAGTAGTAGCCCCCAGAAAACTTAATGACGTGATGAGAAATCCCAGCTGAGCCCCTCTTCTCTATTCCCACTCAATTATGATACCCTCTAAGAGAGAAGTCATGCTCTCCTTGTCACGCCCATAGAACACCCGCATAGCTTCCCAACTACCGTCCCCACCTTTCAAATTGTCTCTTTTTTACAGAATAGTATTTTAGTTAAGAAAATAAGCCCTAAAGTTAACTCCTCTTATGGTCTCAAGAACTTCAATAAGTTGGTCTCATCCTTCCCACCAATCTTAGAGGCAATTAATCTTGAGGGTCATCTGCACTCTCATCAGAATAACACCCCCACAGTGAGAGGGAAGATGGCAGAGTGGCTAAGAGCATAGAATCTGGGGCCAGACTGCTTGGCTCCAGTTACATACTCACTTTCTAGTTACTTAGCCTCTCTGTGCCTCACGTTCCTCACCTATAAAATGGGAAGGATAGTAATGTTGTATGCGTCATAAGCTTGTGGTGAGAAATGTATAATATATACAACCACTCAGCACAAGACGTAATATCTAGTAAGTGATGATGATGATGATGATGATGACGATTGATGATGATTGATGATGATATGACGGGCCTCCATTCAAAACCTACAGCCATCTTTCTAAAATACAAATCAAATTACATCACATATGTGTTCAAAAACCTTTAATTAATGCCCATTGCCAATAGGATGTAGTTCAAAATCCTGAGTGTAGTATACTAAGCAAATTACAAATTCTTCCTACTGTGTCCCTAACCCACCTTTCCGATGTTTTCTCTCATTCTCCTCCAACACCTCTCTACAGGAGATCCAGAACCTGTGCTTTAACTAGTCGATACTTCTGCCACCCCAGGAACACACCATGGCACTTTGTTTCTGTTTCACTTGCTGAAATTCCCTTCCTAGTCCCGTCTACCTGCTAAGCTCCTGTTCAATCGTCAAGACCCACACAAATGTTCCTTTTTCATAAAGTTCTCCCAGAATCTTCCATTCAGTGACTCTTACCTCTAAACTCCCACATCTTACCTAGAAAACCTGAATGCACAACACCGTGCTATCATTTTCTAGTTCCATGTCCCTTCTCCTCTATGACCTCCTCAAGGGCAGGAATTTATTTGCTGCTTTTTTGCATGGTCTGACTTACAGCAGGTGCCCAGACAATGAGGGTTTGACTGAACAAAGAGGTATCTATTGAAACAACGTGCACGACAAGCTAATTTCCAGCAGAGGGATCACAAACTGCAAAATCATTCTAGTAAGATGACTGAAAATGAAAGCAGTCTTCATGATAAACGTCTTTTGGATCCATCATCTTGTTGACTTGCATGTCTTTTGACTTCTGTCTCCTCTTTGTTGTAAAATTTTCTACTTATTTTTAGATACCGAGCCATTTTATCTGAAGATGGGTCAAGAAAATATATACATTTTTTATGACTTTCAAAGTAAGGTATATTTACCAGTTAACATTTTTCCTACATTAAAGTAATTCTAAACCATCATAAATTTTTTTGACATATATGTGCTTAATCATTTTTTAAGACATTATTATTTATTTATTATGTCTCTATGCCCACCAATACAACCTAGGTCCTGGACAAAACAAATCTCATGCCTACATGAAGGAGGAGGAGGAAGAACAGAAGAATACTAAATTTAATGTCTTTATTTATTTCTATAATTTTATTATTAGGGTTTTAGTGGTTTAGATGTAATTTGGGAATCTCCCCCAGTGTGTTCCATTGAACCCTAATCTATAAAACTAATCTATAAAAACTAACAAACAAAAATGATTCCATGGTCAAGTAAGTTTGGAGAAAAACCACACTATATCTCTTTAGTGAAAAGTCACAGAGCACACTGGCATATTAAAGGCTCTGAGAGGTCCACCAAGAAGAACTCAGTATTTTGCAGACTTATTTACCAGAGAATCCTTTAATGTTCCTCGGAACAGGTGCTCATGGAACTCATTTTGGGAAATACTGCACCATTTAGTATCTAAATGGCCCAATACAACTAGTCTTTGGTTCATAAATAATCTTAATTCATAACACGGTTAGATGGAATTTTAAAGGGCATCCATCACTGTCACCCAAGCCAGTCTTAACTCCCATCTACGTGCTCCTATCAAGTTATCATGTGAAGGAAATGGAGAACAAATGATTTGTTCTAGCTCTGTGAGAAAGTGCTTCTTTACGCAGAACCAGAATCTCTTTCTCTATAGATTCCACCCATTCGTCTTAATTCAGCTTCTGGGAGCCACAAAGAATAAATCTAAAAATCTTATCACTTTTCAGGCAGAAAGCCAAAATTATCACATAGAATTTTTGGTTGCTGGTAGGAGAGCAATCAAAAGGCCTACTTATCTCATTTATTCATCTGAAAAGAAGACAAAAAGCAGAAGGAGGATTTGTAGATGCCTGGCATACCAGACCATCATTAATGGTGCAGAATGATTAGAAGATAATGACTCGGTGCCTTTGAAGACTGAAATTAAATGGTCCTGCAGTGACAATCAGCCAATGAGAAGAGTCCTAATTTGGCAACAAAATAAACTAAACCCTTTTTATGAGGCGAGGAGTGTGTCTTAGGTAATGAATGCTTAAGTAATTAGATGGTTTTTATGGAGATAACTATAAACTGAAACATAGGGGGAAAAAATCTTGCTAATAGGCTGACGCCCAGGGATGTGGGTATATAAGAGCCAGGGCAGCATAGAAAAGCATTGAGACACCAATTGAGACTTCTCTTCTCAACCCAACAAAAACCCAGCTCTTGACACCATGGCTTGCTGTGTTCCCTGCTGCTGCAGCGTCCCCACCGGCCCCGCCACCACCATCTGCTCCTCTGACAAATGCTGCCGTTGTGGAGTCTGCCTGCCCAGCACCTGCCCACACACGACTTGGTTACTGGAGCCAAACTGCTGTGACGACTGCC